CATGCCGGCAAGCACGGAGTGTGATTGACAGCATTACATAGGCAAGTTGGAAGATACAGCCGCTGTAAGGGGAATGATATTCCAAAAGGGAAGCCAACAGCAATTAGCTTGCTCAAACCACCAACTGAACTGGTGGGCGTAACGCTTTCGAGGCGGAGGGCTTTGGAAGTCCTGCTCAGCAACCATTGCAGCTTTCGCTTTGGAAGCGCCGCAGCTCGCTTCCTTGGCAGCAAGACCGCTGCGCGTGGCGCATATACTCCCCCAATGCGGCCCTCTCTTATCGCAGTCGCTTCCTCCAAAGGCATTTTGCAGACCGTCGCGGAAGCAGATCGACATTTCTACGAACATTTACACGAACTTTTACGGCACGCGAACTTCACCTCAAGAAAGTTGATTCATAGTTAAAACGGGAATATGTTAATAGCTGCAACCGTACACGTTCGGTGTGGTTGCACAGCAGCTGTGAACCTTCACTCTTGCAAATCGCACATTGACCTACCCCAGATTTATAAATCAGAATAGGATTCGGGTTCGATATTTCATTGAATTGTATAGTTCAATCGGACTTTCGAGGGAATCGTCTTCAAAAGGGCGTTTAACGGAAGGAAGGATGAAGATGTAGTGTGTTGAATTGAGGGTAAAGTGTCGGAAAATGTATTTTAGGGATCTCGTTTTTCTTCGAGTTGCGGTGCATAAATAGTGAGCAGTTCTAAGGGCCGAGCGAAGGACACAGAAGCGAGATGGCCGAGACCTCAAAAGTGGACTTGCGAGGGAACAATTTGCTCGTTCTTGCGAGTCTTGAAACCTCAGCGCTCTTGTGACGGGTCTTGAGTACTAAAAGTGGAACTACCTCTACCTTTGGTGTAGGTTGGTTTGCAGGAGTGCACTCTTCACCCTAAAAGACCAGATTACCCTAATCAATTTGTGCCAAAAAAGTGATATATCCAACTCGACGCGCTTGTGCTCAAGATGCAAAGTTCCGCACTCCCATTGGAAGCTTGTTTATAGAAAGTCTTTCATGCGAACTCACTGTTATATCAATTTTCTCGTGTTGTTTTTTGCGGTTTTCTTCCAATTCTGGTTAGTTTCTCGGACGATCGTTGGCTTCAGCCGTGTTCACACCAGGTGGCTTTCTTCCTTTTGCCAGTTACATCACCGTGGAACGCAGAAACCGTAGTTTGTGAATCCTTTTGACTGGCCTTACTATACAGGTACAGAGTGTCGAAATCTCGAAGTCAGATTAGGCGTGGCTATGGATTTGACGTGGCCTTGCCGCACTTGATAAAAGCCGTGAGGATAGGCTGTTTCTAACGTACTCCATTGGATATCAGCAGAGCATGCTTATCCGCGCAACTTCCATCAAATGCGGCGGCCGCCACGTCAAACCCATAGACACGCCTAATCTGACTTCGAGATATCGAGTATAACTTGGTGGAATTTTGATAAGTCCTAAACAAATCACCTTCTATTGTTTGCGGTGTGGGTTGACCAACAGCTGTAGACACCTCAGCCTAGAGAAAGATCAGTAACAACAACACTTTTTTTAAGCACTGCCAACATTCTGAACAGTGGGAGTGTGGAGAAGCTCCAATGAGCATGTGCTTCAATCATTTTTGCACATCCCAGCACATACCAAACTGAACCATTGATTATAAACAATTCTTTTCAAATTCTGACGAGAACATAACAAGAGATATGGCCGTCCGCACTCGTCCCTGAATATTAATGAAGCCGCCCTTTTTAAAGCCACTGTCTACTTGAAGGCACTGCTCGTCATTAGATCCTTAGATTTGTCTTCGAATGAAGTGACAACACTACATACTACTCATGCTGTCGCACCTGGAAGTGCACGGCAAGGAAGCCAATGCTCTTGCTCAGTCGTCGTGTCCGCAGCCAATCATATAAACGGTAGCAGACCTTGACTTTCACCTGGTTTGATTCCCGACCGACCGAAGTAAGCACTTACGCGATCACAAACCTTGCCGTCAAAAAATTACCCAAGATCGTCAGCAAATCCGGGCCAGTGGGCGCAAGCTCTGCCTCCAAGATCTCCTCCTGCAGTGCGGGTAAAGAGCGTATCGACAAAAGCGAATGACCATACATCAGACAATTAAACAACTGCTAAAAGTCTGTATGAAGTTGTGCAGACGTGGTGCGGAACTGGCAAATTTTCAGCAACTCATAGCAGACAGTTGCCATCGAATCGTACAGCTTCCGCTATGGATACTCCAGTGTTACCATCATTCTTTACAATACAAGCAGTCAAATCAGGCAACAGATCGATCAAAGAGCATTTTCGTCACTTGATATTAAGAAATTTCCTCCATTGTTGGTCCAGACGGCCTTCAGATGTATTGTGGGACGGTCATATAGGCTGCGAGGTGTTTATACGTAGAATTATAGAAGTATTAAATGTATGTGTGAAAACAGGACACGAATTAATGAACAAAAGCGAGCTAACAAAGCTAGCAAAAGCACAGTGCAAAGAAACTCAGTTTATCAGAATGAACTAAAGAGAAATAACACCACAAACCATACCGGTGTTGGCGTGGGTTGCACAGCAGTCCTACATCGTTCGGCCTGCAAATAACTAGAGTTTTTCTACGGTCGTTGGAAGGATGTAAACCGTACAGCTAGAACGTCTGCAATAAATACTCCAGCACCACCACACTCCTTCACAGATAAGCAATGAATGAATGCAATGAGATTCACTGAAAGAATTACTGAGAGGTTATATGCTTTACTTCAGTGAAGCTTCTCTAGGCCAATGAATTTTTCGGTCGAATTCGGTCAAATTCTCTTCTTCTTTTTGCTGCTATTAACATTTGAATGAAAAAAGTACTGGGAGTAAAGACAAATCCCTATGGATGGTAAAGTGATTTCATTGGAGTAATTTTATAGACGGCCAAATTGGTGCGTGAGTTTGGATTTATGCGTGTCTGTGCATCTGTACGGTACACGCCGGTAAAAAATCGAAAAATCACGCGAAAAACGCGATTTCGCGTTTTTTTCGTTTTTTCGTTATAACTCGGTTTAAAATTAAGATTTTCAAAATCTGAAAACAGCTTGAACTCAGCTCGTCGAGTTCTATAAGAATCCGTCCTAAAGTTTTCTAGCGGCACTACACTGGATTGCGCCATGCACTCAATTTTCATCTCAAAAAGTAGTTGCTGCATGCGATGTTATGTATGTATGTAATGCATACGTACAGTCGATATCCGAAAGTTGGGGTGGGTGTGTCACCGGAAGTGACGTGCACTTGATAGAAGTGCGTGGATAAGCTGTTGCCAGCATGCTTTGCTGATATCCAGCGATGTATGTTGGAAGCAGCTTATCCACATAGCTTCTATCAAGTGCACGTCACTTCCGGTGACACGCCTACCCCAACTCACCGATATCGAGTATATGTGTATGTATGTGTATGTAATCCCGCTTATGCAAACTGACCGCTACACACAAAGAAGGGCCTCAAAACTTACCCCAGAATGCGCCACGTACTCAATCTCATCCACTACATTGTGAGATTAGATGAATGTTATTTTCCGAATTCTTAGATCTTCATTTCGTTTTCAAGCGCTTACTGGCTTTACGTGTTCTTTCTGCTCTTAATATCCATTCTCTATACAGGGGTGGCCAAAAAAAAGAGACACTTTGCCCATGGCGCACATCATCGAACTTTTCGTCGCACAGGGTGCCGATGTTAATGAAAGTTTTACGGCGAATATTCCTTAGGTGTTCCCCCGTAAACAGAAGCAGGCCCTCCTTCACTGCCCCCGCCGTCTTCAGAATATGACGTCATCTGCCGTCACCGTCGAGCTCAACGAGGCTTACCGTAATCGCTCCGGCCTGAAGCTGCTACATAATTTCTTCAATGGATTAACTGTGAATAGCTTCCAGAGACATTAGCTGTGACTGTGCAAGACCGCTTTTGACCAGCGTTTCAGGGACGTCGTAATGGTCTATGGTACCTCGACGACCTCGTTGAGCTCGTACCGTGAACCATGTTTCCGTGGGAAAATCTTCTGATGTCGTCGGTGTAGAAGGCTGTCATGTAAGGTTTAGATAGATTAGAATGTGCTCTTCAATACTGAGTTGGGGGCAGTCGATTTGATTTTAGCAAAGTGTGATTAATGCTGTCTGAAATGTGGAGTCAAGTGTCTCTTTTTTTTTGGCCACCCCTGTATTTCAACTGAAAACCTTTGAACAGTTTTTGGCAGGCATAGTGGGCCTATTATGTGACATTTTCCCATTTTTAGAGATGTTTTTAGAAAGCTGTGAAGATAGCGACAATTTCCTTCACTGTCGTAGACTACGGTCACTTGTCTGTAGGAATTATATGGAAAACTTGGTCGCAGGTGAGCGTTCCTTCCGTGGTGTGGCCCCAAACATCACTCCTCGTCATGCCCTTGTGGAATGATCAGATTTTTGTTTTTCAGATGAACTTAGAAAGATGTGTACCAGTCGATTACTCATAAAAAATACTGTTGAATATCGCGTGGCAGCCGAAATTGGTGACAAATAATTTTGCTTTTCATGGGAAGCCACGCAGAACGCGTGTCATCATACAAAAGTGGAACTGGAAATTCATGGGCAAAGTGCACCATCGTATTTTCTGTGTGTATAACACATATTTGTCCTACATGGACCGCTTCAAGCAAGCCTAATTCTGCGCTTTGCTGTTTCTTCCTGTTCACACTATTTCACCCAGCATCTAAGTTCCCAATTGTGCCGTCTCCTACTATATCACGTTCAGACGTCGCATGTCACGCCCGAATGACAACAAGCGGCGCTCAAGTATGTAGATCAAGTTGGAAGAGCGAGAATTTCCAAAATTCCCCGAGTTGCGATTTCAGTTGTTCTGATACAACCGACCACTAAGAAACCTACTCACGCATTGAACTTCATTACCCACTTAAACCGCACTACAACAAGCAACCAAATAAATAAGCAACATTCCAATTTCAGCCGCATCTTTTTCAGCAATCGTTGACATCACCTCCCTAAATTTCCATTGCACCTCCTGCCTCTATTTGTAGGCGTAGCTCAGAACGAAGTCCGACAACCGTCATCCTATAAAAAAAATAAAGGATAGCGTGGTGATTTATCCGCTGGACTCAATGACAAGAATCCTACCGCTTTCGGTGTGAGCATACGAGCAGTCGTGCAGCCGTCATCCTGCAAATAAGCGTTATCGAGTTGATTCCGAAGTCAAAAGAGTAATACATTTGAAACAGACTATTACAGCCATATCTTGATAAAATATTGAGGCTCAAGGACCTACAGACGACCACTAGTATCAGTAAAGAAGACACTGCTGCGAGTAATTTTAGAGAAGTAATGCGAGATTATTTCGACTGCAAAATTGAGAGCACCAGAAAGCCTCTAAGAAGAAGGCTCATTGCGCCAGAAAGGCACGTTTCGTGCCACACTCCGATGTCCCACGTGCATACCGATGTACCCACGTGTTTCTACAGTGCTTTAAAATTGCAACTATTTCCGCTCATGTGGTCAGATTGATCAAGAAGATTGTGGGTGACTACAAATTATATTTTCTCCAAACAGAGAGTTCGTGAGCTCGAAAACTCAAATTATGGCAATAAGCACAACCTAACACCATCTTTCTAAGTTGTCAGGAACAATGATTGCTGTGCCGATTCATGAATTTCCGATCAAAACGTGGAAAAACACTGAAGGTTGGCACAAGCAATTGACAGACAGTGTATCCACTTGGGCTTTCCAATTATATTGTTTTAGCCACAAAGATCCATGATCTTGTTCATCTTTACACCAATTCATGGCCATTCCGTTCGAGAACGGCAGGATAGCCTATCTGTTATAGACAAAGACGAAAACCTACCGCTCTTGGAGTGGGCTCAGATGCAGTCCTGCAGCCCTCATCCTGCAAATAACGCATTGAATCAACTTGATTCTGAAGAAAACTACAACAATTGACACACCATTGGTACTGCAATGGTACTGTTGAAGCTACGGGGAGTACACTTAGAAAGGATACCTATCCTTCAAGTCCAGTCAGGACCCTAGTTTTGTCACTGTTGGCTGGTTAATCCCATCAACACCCGTAGAGCACGTAATGGTTTGTCAGTGGCATTTTGCGGTCTGCCAGACAAGCAGATCAACGTACAGACAAACCGACGAACCTATACATCGACCTACCTATACATCTACTTACAGACCTAGCAGCGCATCAAGAAAGTGACTCATATAATAAAAGGATGATGTCTCTAGACCAACAAACCGTACCGCTTTCGGTGTGGGTTGCGTAGCAGTCCTCGAATCTTCACTCTGAAACGGAGCATAGCATTCTATGCCAGATTTGAGATCACAATGAATTTATGAAATCCTAGTAACGCCAGACTTCAGAGAAAATCATTTTCAAAGGCACGTCCCACTCCATTTTAAGGAAGTATGGCACTTATGCCATCAGAGAGAATGAGAAACTGCCGGAAACAGTATTTGAAGAGGTTCGTGTACTTCTTGCGGTACATTGAGAAGTGCTAAGCGCCTAGATTGAGACAGACAAGCGCGATGGCCGAGATCTCAAAGGTAGATGTGAATGAGGCATCAACTGTCCATTTTTGAGAGTCGTAGGGTTCAGCGCTCTTGTCATGCTTATTGTGGAGATGGAACACTGACCTGTACCTTCGGCGTGGGTTGATTTGCAGAAGTGCACTCTTCACCCTGAAAAGTACAGTCCTATTATAACGTTACCCGACAAGCGTTATTCGTCCTGAAAACTGTCAATCCTCAGGCGAACGCGCATGTTGCATGAGATGCAAGCGCTAGAGGATGGGAGGAGCTATTCATTGCAGTTTCACTCTCCAATCAAATAGGTTCATTCAAGGAGAAGTGCTCCACCAAGACTCACTGTCAAAATTTTCTCTGTTGTGCGTTTCGTCACAATTTCTGTAGTTTTCTCGGACGTCGTTCTCGCCGTTGTCACACCAGGTGGTCCTTCTTCCTTTGCAGTTACACACTGGAATGCAAAAATCGCAGTCTTGTGAATCTTTTCCGGCTATGCTTGATACACTGTGTAAAAAGCGGCATATGTTTATAAAGATATCACCTCTGTTGTTTGCGGTGTGGGTTGACCAACAGCCGTAGACACATCAGCCTAGAAAAAGAACAAGTAAGAACAGCGTTTTCTCATTTTACTATCATTGTGGATTGTTTTTTTGTGAAGAAGTTTTAGTGAGCCGCTGCGTGCTGCGTGCGTTCATATTTGATCATGGAAACAATTCTTACTGACTGCACTATGATGCAGGGTGAATATCGGTCGGAGGAAATCCTCAACAGGAGGGTCGTATTTGTCAGGGTGGGTTCATGGGGGTCGTAGTCATGGGGGTCAGTAACGTCAGTGGCATCGTGGTGCAGATAGGAGGGAGAGGTGTGCAGCGCAGAAAAAAGGGTATGTGAGAAAACATGATATAAAATATTCTTTGTAGGTTAAGTCGCTCCGTCCCTCTACCTTAAGAAGGAAGCATTTTAAAGGGCGAGATCCGTCCTCGATATATCCTCGACTAAATATTGGGTTGTCCAGAAAATCCTGCGACACTTTAAACAAAGTTTTTCAGGAAAAGACCAAAACTCTTTCCAGTAGTTTTGGTATTTGATTGCTGCAGTGTATCTTCGGAGGTTTCGGCAGAAGCGTAAATGGAGGCTACGTGCGGCGTTTAACTGTTTCAAACTTGTCTCTGAATCAACACATCTTTTGACTTTATTTTTTTGAGCTTGTAAGCAACCGTTTGTGTCCTTGGCTAGTATCTCGTTGCTGTCAGGCAGGAGATGTGACTTCAGCGGCCAGTGGTGTCCCGTTGGCCTTGTTCCTTCGCAACTGGAGATATTTTGTTCGAAATGGGACACGGAGCTGGACGGCAGTAAAACGATGACTGACAAGCGTTTACCCAACTTCAAGAGGCGCAGCCGGTTGGTACCAGTAGTAGTTACTTATACAACAACGCTTATGTGCATACATTCGACAACTGTCGAGAATCTGCACGATCTCGGTTACAGATCAGTATGTTCGCCATTGACACCACATGGGTTGCGCCAGTCTGGGGAGCGAACCGTGTGACCATGATTCAATTTCTCTTCTTCTTTCGCATCAAAGGAATCTCTTGACAAAAATGATGGCTAATAATAGCTCGCTCTGGCCTTGACTAAACTATACACATAAGCACTACTGGATTCGACAAGGAGGAAAGCTACCCGCAGGAACGAAAGCAGGCCTTCGTCAAGGACTTTTTAGTGTTTCTGATGAGGTTGCAAACTGATTCGCTACAGAAAGCTGCTGGATACCTGCACCAGGGTATCGACCATTGTCGGCTTTTAACAACATTCGAAATTTGGCCGAAAGCGCATGCCTTTAAATCACGTAAATTCTGCTGAGCGGTGTTACCACCCTAACCCGTATCTGTATGTGGCGAAGGATTACACATGAGGAGATCGTGGATTTTGATCGGGAAATTCTGCAGTGCTTGGCTTACTCGCCTGACTTAGTCGTTTCTAAATATTGCGTAATTAGTACACTGAAGCGCTACCTCGAAGAGAAAAAATCCAATGATTGAGGTCACCTCGAAAATTGGATGAAGCGCTTCTTTCGAAGCAAACGCCGGATTTCTAAAAGAGGTGATAAATTGCTAGACGTCTCTCTCGTGACACCGGTGAAACCGTGCTGATATATCCAGTCAACAAAAAAGGTTTAGTCAAAAATCTTGCGTAAATGTCGCAAGATTTTCTGGACAACCCAATATCTCCTCAACTAGAGAATGAAGAAGAAATCTAAACCGCCTGCTAGAAACGGCAAACCTTCCGCTCTTCAAAACGTCCTTTTCTCTTAAGCTCTACGCAAGATGTTGAGGGGGATGTTGCCTTTCAAAGTGCAAAAACTCGCCATGGATATTAACATCTTCGTGCTTGACAAATTTGAAGAGCTGATCTCGTGTTGAGAGTGCAGATTCTAGCTGGTCAATTTTCAGTATTGTCCGTAGTTGGCAAATACGCGGCTTTCGTCTGCTATACGAAGCTGCTCTCCAAAGGTTACGAATGGGGGAATGGAACCTTTTCATCGAGAGTGTAGATTTCGACGGTTTCGAGCGGGGTTTCGGCAAATCTGACCCACGGATAAACCGCGCTGCAACTGAATGCTTTGCTGTACATTGATGGAACTCGCTTATTCACATCAAATTAGAGGGGTCGTATCAAGACCACGATCTGAGGAGGGTCGTACTAGTGCAATCACGTCCTCCGACACGATTTTCACTCTGATATTATGATGATACGCTGTGAATTGTAGATGGGTTCAGAATAAATAGATCCCATGTTGTTCGCGCCATTGTTCTCAAACGACAAACAAATATTGGCTGCGCCATGAATAAAGTCCATTTTTCAATTTCTAAGCGAAATTTTGACGGTTCTTCGCTACTGCGGACAGTGTCATGAGGATGACAAGATTGCTGCTGTCGTACGTAATATCCTCCTTGATATTATTGAAAAAGTGCAGCCAGTGTCTACTTGAAGTTTATCATAAAATCCCAACAAAACATTTCATAGCACCAAATTACTAAACCCGAGAGAGAGACCTGAGAGAAAGGGGTGCACTGTCACTGGTGTGGAGCCATTAGTTTTATTCGGGCGGTTTAGGTAAACTGTATTAGGGCGTGCCAAATCTGTAAGAAATTTTGCTATCAACTTTTAAAGGACGTGGTGCGCCTACGCGCTAATCTAAAGCCATGGAACAAATACTGGGAAGGGCACTGTCGCTAAATTGTGCACAAGCTGGACGGTGTTATATTTCGACATTGACAATAGGTTAACCCATAACGGGAGACGCGCGCCACATGTAGACGCACGATTTTTCCTTTGTTTTTGTAATATTTCTTGTCTTCATTTTCCACCTTTCTCTAGTTGAGGATTGCCCACCCATGGTCCAAATGTTCCAAGACCCTTTTCCTTAAATATAGCCACTTCCCTTGCTCAGGTTGTTGTTTCTGTTGGAGGATGTCACTTGCTGCTTCCATTCATCCCTTATCGGAAAGGCGAGTTACGAACTTTTCGCCAACGGGAATCACTTCTTTTGAAAGGAGGGACACCGACACCTACTTCTAATGCCGCTGTTTGCTTGAGCATAAATAAAGCCTACCCTGGCCCACGATGTGGCGCACGCGAAAAAAAAACCCTGTCATCCGCTACGCCTTAGCATTGATTGGATTTGAGACCGATTCTTGCTTCACTTTACTACATGCTACTCGCATGTGTAACTAACGGTAAGATCAAGAAAAGCAATGATAAGAAAAACTGAGTTAACATAAAACGAGTGAAACCCAATTGTAGAAAAACACGATTGTTAGTCATTGAACAAAATCTTCCGAAGCAACTCTGCTCAACGTTAAAGAGAAATGGACTGGTAATAAGACGACGCGCTTTCGAATGTGGAGAAGTAGGCTGATGTTTGATCACTTCGCTCATTTTCATACTCCACACCGCGAGACATGAAGAGCCTGTGCTCATTCGACGATCCCGATTGTCGGAAAGTTAGCTTGGAACAACCACAGATGCCTTTGCTCTTTACCGTTCTGGTCGTTACCGGTCAGGCACGGTTAGAACTATGGTTCAAGATGAGCACTTGTACACTCTCCTTCGCCACCTGCTTTGAATGGCAGGATCGTTTTTCAAAGAGCTTCTTATGATGATCGTCGGAGCGGACGTTCCCATTCTTCCTAGAACGTTACCATTCTTCCTAGAATCGTCTTCTGCTAGCCTACGCCCCTAGCTATTTCGTCCAACGTTGAAGAACAATGGAGTGAACAAAGACTGTTTGCTTTTCTATCATGAACAGGTTCCTAAACAGTAGTTATTTCAG